CAGAAAGGTTACAATTTCCTTGAAATCGAGAGACCTAATCGCACACGGGGTCGGTTAATGCACTTTGCAGTGCGTTGAAAAATACACCAAGTGCGATGATGCTTTTTGGGCAAAAAAAAGGGGACTATCACTATCAAGCATTTTTGCAACAAACATCGAGACAGAATTAGACGCATTGATTGTGCCGCGACTTTGCCGAGGGTCTCGCCAAAATTAACTGTGGGGTAATTCGGTCTTCGTGAGAAAAAGTAAATTTCCGTGGCGGAAATTCTTGTTCTCCGCACTTTGTCAATCTCAGCGCGCTCATCAAAGCCCACATGACGAGCCCGATGACACTCTTTGTCGCTCAATAAAGGAATCTCGTTAGAAATTGGCCGATAAAAAGCGCGTCACGCAGAAGGAAAACCATATCGCTTTACATGGGATCACTTCGAGGGTCAGAGAATCATGAAGTGCGAAAAGAATCACTGTTCAAATTAACTTTGATGGACGTTTCGCTGACTTTTTGCCAGCCCTCCGGAAAAAAATGCTTACTGGAGAATTGAATAGGCAATTTGAAATGTGTAAAATCGTAAAGCAACACCGAATTTAAACAACAGAAAGATAGCTAATATCGTTATTTCAAGAAGGATTATAATCATTAGGGGCACATAAGGACATTATAATTTTAAATTACTGAAAGAAACCCTCTAGAATTTAGCTTCAAATTATCTTGAAACAAATAAATACATTATTTTCTGGACACCTCAATAGGCAAGTACATCCATTATGTTTACATGAAGAACTACGTTCGTTAGAACGCATTTGCTTATCTCTTCCCTTGACCTATGCCAATGGTGGCAATAGTAGGTATTCGAATGTCCCCAAAACATCCAAGAGCGTCCAATTAAGAAGAGCCGCCGAAGCGCGAAGAATGCGTCTTCCATAAATCTATCCCACATCGCCTCCCAAATTGACTCTAAATGACCACTTTGGAGCACTGGGAGACGCCCGGCCGACTTGAGTGTGTGGAGCACATGTAATGGCTGATAAGCTGGACACTTGCAGTAGCATTTCAATGTCACGGCACCCAGATTATCATTCTGAACAAATACTTGTCCAAATAGGCGCGCTGTTGTCCGCAGAAGGGCAGCCGTTCGGGGGTCCGATGGCTCGAGGGCATGACAAGACGTGAAAAATCCATGGGAATTTCAAGTTTGCCGGCCATTTGACGCAATTAGGCAGGGGCAAAACCGCCAGCAATCACAAGTTGATGAGTGAGAGGAAATTGAAAATAGTTCAAAGTGATTCAACATTGTTCTGCGTGTCTCGCCAAGAAACCTTTTTGCCTCTTTATCTCAACTACACAAACCACATACTTGCGATAATGGTGAATTGTTTCACAAAAATATATTCTATGATATTATGGTTTTCTTTTTTTTGCTGTGCCTCTTCTGGTCTTCACAGCAATGCCTCAATCGCGCTCAAACCACAGAGTGTCTTGCTGCCTTAGATAACAGCGCGTATGGCATGAGAGTTATTGAAAAATTCATAAATGGATATTATATTTACCTTGAGTCGAAACACTTTCTCGCAAGAGGCAATTTTTCTGCTTCCGTAGATTTATTCAGATGACATGCAGAAAGGTTTTTCGATCTCCTTTCCGCACTCAACCAAGGAGGACGTGCACAAAAAAGGCATCTCAGTATGAAAGAGTGGATATTTAAGGGTATCTGAGCTGAGTGAGACAGAAGAGGATCGAAAGGGACTGAAAGGAGCCGAAATTCTTAAGAAATAAGTTGGGCAACATGTTGTTTGTGCGTTAGGTCCAATTTCTTATTATGGTAAAAAGTGAGGAGACTCTGTTAAATTGAAAATTTGCGTCCAGCTGCTCTTGGAAGATTAGGGTTTTCCATTGAGCCCTTGCCGAGGGACCCTCAAAGTATATCGACAAAGGCCACCAGAAATTGCATAGTCGCGCGTGAATGGTCAAGCTCAAGTCCCATCGGAATATTCCTCTATTGCATCACATATCTCAGTCGGTGTGATTGCATTTGGGGCGATATTTGTCGGAAAAATGGTAAGCTGGAAAGTGTAATCTTCCTGTTCTCTCTCTCCCTAATAATAATCATCACAATCGTGGCCTGTAGTGAAGGAGAAAGACACACAAATAACATGATTCGGAGATACAATATTTGCCCTGAGACAAGTCTATAAGACAATCCACTTGGTGTTAAACACCGAGTTCAGAGTTGCTATTTGCACGGAAATGTATAGACTACGAGGGGCGTTTAACTAATTTCAGCCAATTTGTCGCTGCAAATAGAAGCATAACCTCAAATTCTATCACCTGGCAAATTCAGGAAGTTTTGCAAGCTTCCTGGACGCTGTTTCCTACCCAAAGAAGCTGCCAAACTGTGTAATAATCTTGAGCAAACTCGTCTATCGCGAGTAACACAGCAACTGTGTCAATTGCGCGCCTTCGCGTCCTATTCGCAGTGCCAGAAAAGCAGCCAAAAATGGCGTTCGCGTAGCACAGAGAGGAAGTGAAATGTGTGCAGATAGATGCAATTCTGATAATTCCTGCACACGCACTCTCCAGCAAATATTGATGCAGTGACAAGCATCCCACCTGCACTTGGCCCGGAGGAGCACATGTGCTGCGGAACCCCTCCCCGCAGTCCCTTTTCTGTTATCCTCGCGCGCGTGCCTTGGATCGCGCGTTTTTTATGTCATTGTGTGCCTCCTCTGAACGGTTTTTTTCTTCTTCCTCATCACAAGCGCACAAGAAGCTGGGCAGGAGACAAAAAAATGCACAAGCCCTGTCATCCGTGAGGACAAAGCAGCAGCCCTCCGATTTAGGGCCAAATTCGATTCCTCTCAAAAAATCCAACGATATTTTTTTCAACTGCGGGGAAGCTTTTTTTTTTACTTCAAACGCATATGAAAAAATGCACTTCAGGGTGTCAACAAATACATTTTCAGTGTGAGTCTTGTCAATGTTTTCCCCGTAAATTTTTTTTCGGCAAAAGCCGCTCAATCGACACAATTTGCCCACATTTTATTGAGTGTCTCAATCCAGAGAGGGTTGAAAGCGCGCTCCCCGTACGGGAAAAAAACAACCCTCAATGGTAGTTTGATTAATAAGAGGCATCTTCATGGACAAATTTGTGCACACAGAGCGATACCTGCGACAGTGACAAAATTATTATTGGGTAGCAGTAAAAATAATTGGATTAGGAATGTTTTCTCTGGCCCGAGTGATCCTGAGCCCATTTTTATTGTCTTGTAAATCCCAAGACATTCGCCCAGTCGGAGACCCTTTCTCCCACATTTCTCCATGGTGGCGGAGAAAAGGATTTGTTGTCACAACTCCTAATTATGTAGGGCCTGCAACTCAAAGGATTTATTCGATTCTGTTTGGCCTCCCAGGGCGGCGGCGGCACATTTTCATAGGACCCACCATAAAGAAAGGGTCACTGGGAGTCCGAGAAGCGTGTCATAAAGTAATATGCAAATTGTCGCAAAAGGAGTTCAATTTCAGAAGGTTTTTCTGGGCCATATTTTAGCCAATTTTTTGTAGCTGACCTTCAAGAGCCCAATTGCTTTTGCAACATGCCGAAATTTCTCTTTTCATTGTCTTGCAATGGTCAGTTTTGCGAGCAATACACGAACTTCTGAGGGATTGTCAAGGATAGTCTGAATTTTTCCAGTACTGAGAATTGAAAATTTGAATGAGAAAATTATTTTACTGATCCAATAAATGATTTGATTTTGACTTTCAGGGCGGAAATAGCACGGGAAATGGTAAAATGGCAATTGACTTTTCACTCTGCTGATTCACGTGCTGGAAAGTGCATGGAGAGGCGAAGGAAAAGTGTGTCGGGTTATGTGAACGGGGTCAGAGGGTGGCGGGGTTTCACGGCCAAGCATCGTTAAAAGGCAAGTGTGATGGGGTTCTTGGAGGCTTCTCTGGTGCGAGATTATTGCTCATATTGGTCACTCTCACTCAATTATATCTCCGACGACGAACGGGGAAGCCATCAAGGGGTGTACATAAGGGTTGAACTTGATATAGGGCCGCAGTACATACAGGAATCGGGATGAGGATGCTGGCAAGAGGGAGAGAGAGAGAGAGTGGCACACTGGAGGGGATGGCGCACCAACACTCTCTCACCCTGATTCCTTTCTCGCTCACTCGAGCTCGGGCTGCGGCACTCGGTTGTACATAAGCTCAAGCCGTTTCCATGCAGCGGCACGAGAGGGAGAGGGTGGACCGAGGCCGGGAGTCCTGCAGCCTTGGCCAGAGCGAGACGGCCGGGTGGAAAGGAGGGGAGGTGCGTTTCCCACGTAGGGACTCCTTGACGCTCGGCGCAAGAGCGAGTGCCAGTGTTAGGCTAGGTCAGCTCACGTTCACAAGTGTTGCCGCGCGAAGGAAACCCAACACAGACGCGCCTTCCAGAGTGGCTGCGACTCCGGAAAAGTCCTCACGCTCTCGCTCTCGCTCGTGGGCCCAAGCAAAAAAAAAAACACACAGTCAAGTCAATGATAGTGTCTTCTCCGTTCCCCATCACATTCACATTCACCAGTCCGAGAGTGAAGCGCATATCGTGCACGTCACCCGATCGCCTTACCAGTTTTTACTACAAACATCGCGTGCCACAGCCAAAATCCTCAGTCGCGATTTAGCATTCGAGCTGTTGAGTTTTAATCACAAACCAAGCCGCAACTTGCATCCCCCAAAGATACTCCCATCCAGCCGCTCGCTAGCGAGGGAATCCCCACACCAGCTGACCAGTTATAATCATTTCGCGAGGAAAAAGTGTTAAGCTCTCCCTTTGCCGAAGCCTGTGAATAGTGCGCGTACCGAAGCTCCTTGGAGGACCCCCGAGACACGGTCGCTGATCCCACACAAATGTGGTAAGGAGACGCTTAGAGGGGCCGGAGAGAACTATTTGCGTGCTAAAGTGGAAGAAATAGCCTGAAAGGTGACTGATTTTCGGCGAGAACTGGACAAAGCCATGGCTTTGTCGCTGCTTCAGGAGGCGCAGGCAGCAAGAGGTGAGTCCATCCTATGCCAAAGTACCCCTTGACCCCTAATTAATGTCAAATTCCATCCGTAAGTGCGCTTTTGAGAGTGAATTCAATTAGCTTTGTGAATTAGACTTACACAACGGTGAGCTTCCTTCGAGGGTTGGCTCTTAGGGTTGCAAGGATTCCAGGGAAATTGTTGAATATCTGATGAGATGAAGCTGAAGAACAGCAGATTTAGAAACACCCTTAAAACATAGTTCGATAGTCTAGTGAGGATAAGTAAATGAAGAATAAAAAAAAAATTATCTCTGCTGGACAAGTTGCAATTGAACTCAAGTTGAATATCACTTGCAATTCAATCTTCAATCTAGCTAATTTGCTTGACTTGACGTGACAACTCAGGCACGTCGCTTGAGTCAGAGGACGAGCGTCGGGAGGGGCCTTTCGCCTAACTAGACGAACGGAAGGGTAGAGAATCGCGAAGAATCTTTTCTCCCTTCACTTAATGGCTCTCCCTGTGGAGCTTCTTTTCTTTCCTACCACCCCAAATGAGGGGTGAAAGCGAGATGAACTGATTAAGGAGCGCGCATCTTCAGGTCTCCGGCAACCCTCTTTATGGATTTTTCCGCACCCTTCACGCGCGGCTATGATTAAAAGGAGTGGGTTGTATATCTTATGGCTGCGGGAAATTAGGCGAGAGCGAGATGGAGATCTCGTCATTTTTCGCGCAGATCCGCCACTTGAGCGAGATGCCCTCTGGACTAATTGAGTATGTCTCTCGAGGACCTGGAGAAGAGGCACTTGAGTCCTCGAGACCCGCAAATGTGACTTCCTGATGTCCCCGAAGGAGCAAATTGCTCTCGAGCAGCGCGACGAGAAACACATGTTCGCTGCGTCCTGAAGATGAATTTATGGTCGAGTATCGGGATTCAGGGAGAAAAGATATGGGATATTTCTCTCAATTTTTAACACCCTCAACCGCTTCCGTGGTCGCAAGGTTCGGGTGTGATGTGAGAAAGAGTCGCTGGCAAGTGTGAGGAAAAATATGAATTCATCATCATATTTGTCTTTGGGACGCGAAACAGTTCGTGGTGGATGAATTTGTGGGGCTCCTTTGGCCTGGAGAAGCCTGAGAATCTGTGAATGAAAGCGGAGTAAATAGAATCACATGTTTCACCCAATATCCCTCAATATCCACCCCAATCTCCCACTCTTCCGGAAAGCCGGCACCCTTTGGAGGCTCTCCCCAAACCCGGACGCGCTCACACATAAAAGCTCACGTCACGAATATATGCAAAATGCTGAAGCAACAGACGAGGGCAATTCAAGCGTCTCGCCTGCCGTCGGCAAATCCACCCTCCGAGAGACATTCCACCCCTTGCCACCCCCACACACAATTCGATAAATGTGCATCAAGCGTCAACCACACACATGTTCCGTTTGCCTGTGTACACGCACACACTGCCGCCCACCCTCCCCCCCCCCGAAAAAGCGGCGAAGGAGAAGACGAAGAGGAGGAACAACAACCCCATGTGAGAGTTTGGGACGAGTGAAAGTTCATTCTTACAACTCAGGCGCTCTCCCGAGCTTTCTTTTTTGTGGGTGGAAAGAGAAAAATGAGATATTCACGAGAGCTTTCCTCTCTCTCACATGGCACACATTTCTCTTTTGGGGGCGCGCGCGTCCCCCTCGCCACCATCCCCCCCGAAATTGTTGACATTGTTGCGCATATCGCACACATTTCTCGGCAATTGTGTGGCCTTTTCGCCTCACATGTGGAGATGCCGGCTATCAATTCGCGCGCTCTGTATTTTTATGCTAATGCCGAACACACTTTCATCTTCATTCATGTTGCGGAAAATCCCACGGGGGTGATTTTGCGTCGCGAATATTCCCATTTGCGATTTCCTTGTGTGCTCGAGGAGCTGCACATCACACACACACAAACATACATCATAGATTCTCATAAGTGCAGGCTTTTCCATTTAGGGGCTGAAGGGAGGCGGAAAATTGAGTTACAGCAGTCTTTTATATAGTTCATTACTTGAGGTTCAAAAGCCAACTAAATCATGTGTTCTGACACGCGTAGAAGTCAGAAGAAAAACCTCCAATCACGACCCGAAGTACAGAAGTCTTCAGTCAAGATTTGGGGTAAAATCGCCGTGCGAAATTTGACAGAGAAATGGTTGCGAAAGTCACGATTTTGTGTCTGCAATTTCAACAGCCATTGTCTAAACATCCCCTCAGCGTGGAAATGGAAAGCCATTGTGAAGGATGAAAAGTGAAAATTGCCCGGGAGATGACAATTTTCACTTTCACTCACTTGGTCCCCGAAGGAGGTCACCAGAGCCATAAAAGAGGTGATAACAAGTGATAAAACTTGACGCGAAAATTGAAAATCGACATAACATGGGCACCACTGAATTGCGAATATTCAGCTAATGCGTCCCTCGGGGTGGTTGCGTGCACTTTTGGGAGGCCCATTTTGACACTGTCCCTCCCCGAACAATGATGATTGAGCTGGAGAGAATCTAATAAGAAATTATATTTGGCGCTTTGCGGGGTGGGAAAACGGCTCGAGAGATCAATTGAATTTTGCAGTTTTCTGCGAATCCTTTTGTGTGAAATAAACTGAATCTAAGGGTGGCAAATCAATTCTGAAACACTTATTGGGTAGTTTTATTGGAAATTATTTGTTAGTCATGAAATATTAAACCCTTCGCTGGAAAATATTGGAAAAATGCCTGATTTCTAGTGAATTCATCAAAATCGATGTTAATCAATGTAAATAAATGATTAGATTCACCCCATAATTAGCAATGCTAAATAATTGCTGCTCATTTAAATCGGAAATTCGCTAATGCTGAGCATTTCCCGGTATTTCCGCGCTTGTCATTGTCGTCAGGAGCGGAAATTGGCGTGAAGATAGCGAACCCTTTCTCTCTGCATAATTACCACCGCTCCAATTAACCCTTGTCTTTCTCTCCCCTTCGCGCACAGGCTTGGCAGCGGCCAGGGCGTTGAGTGGTGGCCTGAAGCACGAGGACGAGCGCAACCTATCGCCGCCAATCAGCAACAACAACACCGCCTCCATGTATTCCAGCCTCATTCCCACCACGGCGTCCGCCATGAGCATGCTGGCGCCACACTTCCTGGCCAATCAGACCGCCGCCGCGGCTCTGCTGGGCATCCCGATGTCCAGCCTGGCTTCCGCCTCGCCCTTCTTCCAGACTCATCCGCTCTTCAGCGCCTGGAGCCAATCGCCGCCGGCGGGCGGCAGTCCGCCGCCAACTTCCCCCTTGTCGCCGGCGCTCAGTGTCAAAAGCGCCACGAAGAAGTTCACGAACAACAATCACATAGTTTCAACAACGACAGCGGATTTGGGGCGGAAAAGTGCGCCGCGGCGACGACAGATTAGCGTGCGAAAGGACATAATTTCGTCACCAATGGACACTGCCGAGGCGCCAATTTCGCCGCCAACGTCCGGCTCATCGCCACAGTCGACGGGGTCTGGAGAGCATCCGCCGGCGCTCACGTCCAGCACGAAGGACCCCACGAGAGACAAGGTGTTCACGTGCAAGACGTGCAAGCGCTCCTTCGGCTACAAGCACGTGCTGCAGAATCACGAGCGGACCCACACGGGCGAGAAGCCGTTCGAGTGTCCGGAATGCAAGAAGCGCTTCACGCGTGATCACCATCTGAAGACGCACATGCGGCTGCACACGGGCGAGAAGCCGTACAAGTGTGAAGAGTGCGACAGGCGCTTCGTGCAAGTGGCCAATCTGCGCCGCCACTTGCGAGTGCACACCGGCGAGCGGCCGTACCCGTGTGAGCACTGCGAATCACGCTTCTCAGACTCCAATCAGCTCAAGGCGCACATGCTGCTGCACAAGGGCAAGAAGCCCTACAAGTGCGAAGTGTGCCACAACAGGTTCCGCCGGCCGCATCACTTGAACTCGCACAAGTGCAGCCTCACGAGCCCGCCAACGCCAGTGCTGAGCCCCGCCGCGTCGGACAACAAGTCCGCCTCGTCGGACGACAGCGCGCCACCGTTCCACGACGATGCGCTGGACGGCGAGCGGCGGCACCGCAAGAGCCGCGACATCCGCCAGATTATCCGGCTGCCGCCGCAATTCATCCACCTGCAGCCCGAGCAAACGGAGCCCGAAGACCTCAGCATGCACTCGCCTCGGTCGTCGCCGCCATCGCCGCCCGCTTCCCACGATGACGATCTCGATGAGCTCGATGACGCCGCGGCGCTGTGCATCAGGCGACACAACATCGCCACGTCTTCACCGCGGCTGCCGACCAGCCTCGACTCACTCTACTAAAAATACGGGTAAATTGAGCTACAGACACAAAGCTTAGCTAAAAGGCAGAGAATATATTTAGACTCTCTGCGTGTGAAGGTTGATTCAACAGTTGCACGATTGCTGTCAAACCGAATGGCTTTGATGGGTTAATAATCAGAATACTCCTCAGTATATTGATCACCTCGTTGCGCAGAGAGCCACAAAATAGGGATCCACTATATATATTTTATCATGGAAATAATTGAATCAAAGAAAAACTGGCAGGGATTAATCACTAACACTGAACAAATAATTTAAAAAGAAATATAGAAATCTAAAAGAATATCTGTGTAATTAACCAAAAAAAAACAAGAAGTATAAAGAGAAGAAAATATTGTGGAAAATTATAGATAATCTAGGAAATAGGCAGAGTATAGATGTAGTGACTAATGATATTCAGTTTGAACAAGAGAAATATAAAACTCTATATTTAAAGATGGATAAATATTTAAAAGGAATAATGACTTTTTTCGTTTCGTTATTTGAAATTGCGTATAAATTTACGGGAATTTTTGTAATGGTATACAAGTTCCTCACACAATAGATATGAGAATATATTCGGACAGTGGTGGCCACCCTTCCTCCATCACCCTTCGTGGTCTCCTGGGAATCTCCACCCCTTTGCACCTGGACAAAACGGTCACAAGCGTCCAGAGGGACTTATGCAACCCCTCAGCTTCTGTTCAGCCCTCTCTCTCTCGCTGGCAAATTCGCCACGGAAGAGTGAAATAATTTGGCAATAGTGAAAGAGGTGACAGAATCTTGACGACTTCCCGGTCACTCCTTCCCATTCATGTGCCCGATTCCTGAGGAATTCTTTTACTCCCTCACATTTCCCTCCTCAAAGTACTCTGATTCTCTGCCTACCTGGAACTCCGCAAAGCACCCCCAATAAACCGACAGGCATTCCTGCTGAAAAGTGACCCTGAAAGTATGTTCAGGAACTGAAAATTTGCAGTGAGACCACAATTGGAGCAGAAAATTCGGCCTTTGTTGGGACGCTTGCAAATTTCATGCAAATTCATGTGAAGAATTCCGAGTAAAGTCCCGACCTGTGAGGGTCGTGGAGGAAGACATCCCAATCACCACTGAATTTCGATCTCAAAACTCAGACTCAGCATATAGAGAAGGATGAAAAGATGATATAAATTGAGTAATAAATTGTAAATATGCTATAATGTGAATGGAATACCTCTCTTAGATTTAATTGATACTCTATGGAATAGTAATGATGACATTTTGGACTATATTAGACGTGAAATTAATCAATTACTAAAAAAAAAATTTATCTATTTAAAGATGCCCCCAAAAAATCCACATTGCTCTAAGATTTTCATTATTTATTAGTGTGTTGTACGAAAATTCGAAAGAAAAACCCTCAAATCTTGGATGTGTAATCGGATTTAAGGCAGAAGAGATGTTAAGTGTTCTGTCTGGAGAAAAAATACAAAAAAAATCAAATAGAAAAAAATGTCTCATTCTAGAGTAAATAAAATGAATTATTGTAACATAAAGAAAAATCATAGATGTAACGATGAAACTTGATGGAAATTATGTTGATGAAAATGTGCCATTTCTTTGACTTTTTCACATTATTTTGTAACAATTTATTATTATTGAAAAAAAAACTTGTTGTGTTTCTTTCCCTGCTGCTGTGACTGTATTTTTCTCCTAACGAGAAAAACACCACAAAAACCTACAATCAAAATTACTCTAAGTTGTGAATAGTGTATTTTTTATAATTTTTTTTATCGCTAAATTCCCCAAAAAGAAAGTGTTGTTAATCATATTTTGACTTCTTGACTATCCATAAATAAAGAAAACTATAAATATAAATATATTGAAACTATAGGAAAAAAACGCATACCTAATAATAAAAAAATACATTAAGACATGCCATGAAATAGTTAAGAAACAGGAATTAATGGTACAAAAAGCATTTTATTAACACTCAACTACCTCACTTGAAGAGATACTATTATGAGAATTTTTGTATAAATAAAACACTACATGAAAACGAGAATCTCTATCACAAAATAATTAAAAAGACTGATTTTCATTATTTCTTTCTCTTTCTCAAATGATATTTAAAACAAAACAAAAGACATGGTAAAAATCGTTTACTTATGAATAGAACAAAATGTGGAACAAAAAACTAATAAAAAGCGTAAATCATACCTGAAATAGAAATCAAGAAAGTAACTAAGATATCCATGATACAGTGTCCAAAAATTACATGTAAATAACCGTATTGAGATGAGAAGAGCAACTTTACATGACATTTCGACGGATTAATGTTATTAAAAGGAAAATTTAATGTGGTTTAAGCGTGAAAAAAACCATATGTGGAAAAATTATTAAATGTCAATGCCATATTTTTACTACTGTAGCAACTCCTTAAAGCAACTGTCACCCTTTTCCTGTCATCTCATTGTAATAATTACCAAAAAAAAGAACTCTCTATATAAATATTACATATTAAAATGATTGTTTTAAAAATTAAATACATTGTGTGTTTCTTTCTTTTACTCTGTCTTCAGCGCAAGCATGAAGAAAAAGACGTTTCCCGTTTTCAGGATTGAAATGAAGAAAGGAGATAATTCCAGATCATTTGATACAGCCGAGAATGAATGAAAGATGAGAATTCCAACCCTATTCAGGGGCCATATGTCGGTTACTGAATCAGGTCGTTGCATCCTGGCTCACCTTCAAAAGTGTGCGCGAAGCTCGTGATCATTTTTTATAGTCGCATCTTCACCTTTCAAATCCCGTTACAGGAATCCTTCTCTCTCTCCCTTCCTTTTTTTCATCCACACAAATCGCCGTGGTGCTGTTCTTGAAAAAAAAAGAGAGTAACGGGTCGCGTGGAAAGGGTGAGGCCTTATTTATGATCTCTGGATGCTGCGAAGGGTTCTGCCGTGTGGCTGGCGTGCGCGATAGGGTTAATTGTATGCCTAAAAAAGGTGGCTTTAGTGGTGGCGTAAAAAAATGTCACAAGCTGAGGCAGCTAAAATCAGAGTTAATCAATTTTCGAGTGTTTTTTCAACGGTGGATGAAATTTTTTCTGTTCTCTCCATTCGCCTGCAAAGGAAAGCGTAAACAGACGCCGAAATTGAGGGAGATTTTGAGGGTGAAGGAGAATGAGCCAAGTAAAAACAAGATCCACCATTTCTTTTGTACTTTAAGTGAAAGGAGCGAAAAATCACCGGAAATACTTTTTCATATTTATTTAGGAACTTTTCGTGGATTTTTGTGTGAATATTATGTGGAGGAATTTTTGTGAAAAACGGGAACAATTCCCTTTTCTTCTCACTGTCCGATTTGCCTCAATCATTCCTTGCCCGCCCTTCATGCATTCTCTCCTCCCTTTTCCTTCCAACTCAATGGCCAAGACGTGTACCTCTCTCTATCGCCATTCACCCCGATTCGCACGAGCAATAAAATCAGTGAGAAAATAAATACTCAAATCCATCTCCTTGCAAGCCACTGGATGTTGCTGCATGTCACAATGCTCCTTTCTGCCCGATTGACTGATCGGTTTAAAAGGGACTATCGAATTTGGAGTCACAATAATCACGGAACGAAGGTATCCCAAGGGTGAGGCGAACAACAGTGGCGGAATAAACACAAAATCAATAGTTAATAGCGCTGAAATCAAACTACACTTAAAACTCCCTGATTTTCTCCCAGAATTGACAAACAACCGTTTCTGCCCATCAACACTGGTGTCAGAAGTGGGATCCGATCAATGCTTAGCCAGATATTATCTAGAAATCTAACTTTGATGTGGATTTTCTTTACTTTGCGCTCTTTATCTGGCAAATACTTCTTGCTTTCCTTCCGAGAATGTATGACCGTCCTTCTCTCGTGGAATTTAATCTTTCTTAATTCCAAATTTTATTAATCAATAAAAATGTCCTTAACGATGCCGAAGCGATTCGCTCGGCCTTCCCTCCACTTTGCCACGAATCTCCCATTAAACCACCCAACTTATTCTAATTTTCTTTTCATCCCTTCCATCCCACCTCTTCTCATTTTCCACCATCCGAAGAATATCGCCTTCCGAGGGAGATGCCCAGAAATTCGCTGGGGTGTCCCACCCGCGATGGCAAACGCAATCGCTGGAGCGTTGCGTTGGAAAAGGGGTGGTGGTTTTGCCTTTCGCCTTTCCTTCCTTTTCTTAAAACGTAAAATCTGCATATAGATTGTTTAAAATCGAGTCCTCCGTCGTGTCGACTCGCTCTGGCCATCGGTGTTGGGCGATCGTGTCTCTCTGTCGCACACTCATCTCAATGCGCGCAAGCCAGGACGCTGGCAAGAAGGAGCCATGGAGTACAAGGGGTGAAATTTAAATGAGAGGCACATGATGGAAAAAAGCACCATCGGAGAAGAGAGAGAGAGAGAAAAAAAAATTGCTGGGTGGAAGAAAATAAATCAAATAAAGGGTTGATTCGCAGCATAAATAATTTCCAGCACATGCGAGAAAGTCTGCATTTGTGGCATTATTGTTGAGATTGAGGCGCAGGAGGAAATTTTCCAGCATAGCAGATGATCTTTCGATCACTGTGATGGTCTCTTTATCATCGTGACAACTCCATTTATCACAGAAATGTTCGACGCTCCTCAAGAAAAAAAAAATCACAGGTAATCCCAACTGTTCGAATTCACCGCCAAAAAATCCCTTTTCACCTTAATGCACATGTAAATTGTGTGATTTACAATGCCACAATCCTTCCTGGGCGACAAAGGGTGAGTGGCTGGAGGACAAAAAACCCATCCTTGTGAGAGACAAAAAATCAGCCACGTACAAAAGAAATTTATAATGGGTGAGAGAAAAGAGGGACTAATAAAAAATCTAATTAACATTTCGAAAATAATAAATTACACTCTTTTTTATGATTAATTCATGAATATTTTAGCCATTAAAATTATCCTCCGTCGCTGCGCGTTTTAATGTTGGCACGATGGACTCCTTTTGCGCCGCACTCCTCTGGAGACGCGAAGGGGCCACGGACGGAAAGGATGTATAATTTTCATCTCCCCGGCCCTTTTAAAAAATGAAAATAGGCACTCATACACTCGCGCACTCGGATACTCTTACATAGGGATTATTCTTTCGTTTTTTTAAATGAGGGGTTGAGCATGGTTGGAAGAAAAAAACGCGTGGGGTGCGAGTTTTTCCTCACCCTCGCGCGTTTTCTGCTTCTCAGCTCGACTTTTTTTCCTCGCTCTCTCGAGGGAGTGAGATTTTTTTTCAGATCGATATTTTAACTCTTGCCTCGGCGGCTTCTTCGTTCATTAACATCTAAAGTGATGAGCATGAAATATTTCTTATTTCACATCTCCATAATGGCATCGAAATAGAAAGTCATCATCCGCGCTAAATTGCGAGGCTGAAGCGGCGTCTTAACCCCTTTTTCTCGCATTCGCTGGTTTGGGGCCAACAAAGGGGATTATGCGCTATTTGTTGAACTCCCCTTTT